TGGACACACTGCCCTGGGCAAAGGGATGTGCCAGGAGAAGAGCAAGGCAGCATTTCTGTGCTTGCACAGAGGAATCTATGGCACAGAGAAAGCTCTTTCTGCAGCCCCCCTGGGGACAGGCTGCTCTGTCCCTGGGCCAGGACTCTGTGCTGGGCTGGGCAGAGGGGCTGGCACTGAGGGGCACAGTCAGGCTGTGCTGGGCATCTCCTGCAGATGACACCAGGGCTCCTGCAGTCGCCCTGAGCTCCATTTGCTGCTGCCATGCTGAGTGTCCAGCGCCTGAACTGATGGGGATGCTGAGACTCCTCTCTGTGCCCCAGGAGCTGCTGTGCCCTTCAGAGGGGCTGGGGTTGTGGGGGGAGTGCCCAGAGCTCTGCAGTTCCCTGGGGTGGGCACTGGTGAGGGGCCAGAGCAGACTTGGCTGCTCCACCACTGACCTCTAGAATGAAATCACTTCTAATTTTCTCCTGAAGTATCATAGGAATAGTCAGAAAGACAAACTGTGAAAATTTTCCTGGTGGACTTTTACCCTCTTTGTAACCTCAAGACCCATCACTCCCCAAAAGTGCTGCCCTACCGATTGAAAATAATACACTGTTCTCATTCCAAGCCAGGAAAAGGCACAAACCCAGAACTCCAGACTCTTATTTGTCTTCCAATGTCAACCCCAGCCCCAAACCTGTATTACAAGTATGAAAAGCCAAGCTTTAATTCTGACCCACCCCAAAAAGCTCTTCTCCTTATCATGAACTGTCAGCAGAACAACAAACCTGCCAAAGTTCTGCCCAATCCCCACCCTGAGCTCTAAAGCCCAAGGCCTGACCATGAAGCACCCCCACAGCCCTTGGGAGCATGGCAAGGATCTGCAGGGCCCAGAGCAGGCCCAAGGGGTTGGCAGAGCAATGGGAGGTGACCTGGATCTGCTCAGCTCTGCAGGGACCCCCAGCAGAAGGGCCTGGGCTCTCTCAGGGATGTCCTGGGGCACAGGGGCTCAGCATCCAAGCCAAGAAGGCCAAGTGCACATGGCAGCAGCCAGAGCTGGGGGACAGCAGAGCCATCAGGGAGGGCCCAGAAATGCTGCTGGGAGGGGGGTGGGAAAGCAGGAGGGGTGTGTGCAGCCTGCAAGGCCAGAGGAGCAGCAGGGCCAGGGGAGCACAGCCTGCAGCAGAGATGGCCAAGGGCTCTGGCAGGGCTGCAAGGCCCAAAGGCACCCAGGCCTTTGTGCCCTTGGCTCTGGCAGCTGCCTCTGCCACTCAGGCCACCACAAGCAACTTTCCTGGCAGCTTCTGCTCTTGGTTTCTACCTCACCCCTCCCTGAGCAGCCTGGGGCTGGGCCTGGTTCTGCCTCCCCCTCCCATCCCACTGCCCCCTAAACAGCCCTGAGCCCCCCTGGAGGGACAGGGCCTGGGGCTCAGCCTTGGCCTTTGTGCTCCCCAAAACCAAGGCAGGCTTTGCTCAGCATTGCAGAGCCCTGCCCAGAGCCTTTGTCTGCCTGCAAGGATCTGCTCGAAGGAGTCCCTGGGGAGGCTTTGTCAGTGCCTGCCCTCAGTGGGGCCCAGCAATGCTTCAAAGGAATGGGAGTTTGGTTTCTGACGTCTTGAGCAGCTTCTTCAATCTTCTCTGAGAACCTCAGGATGATGGACTTGTCTCTAAACACGCTGTGGGGCTCATTAAAATACAGAAAAATTATTTTCCTTCTTTTAATTATCTTGATATTTTCAAGTCTTCAACAACTAATTAGTGTTGTTTTGTAGTTTAGCTAAGGAGAAAGATTTTAAAGTGGGCGTCAAAAAAAATATGTTTTTTCTTTGAATGGGAATGATTTTCACAGAGCCTTGGGATGCAAGAGTGTCAGGGTGCAAATGATTTGGACACAAAGATAAGGGGGCAACAGAAATTAGTAGCATTTTATTTTTGACCAACTTTACAGTTATCAAGTGATTCAACAGCATTTGCTACAACTTTAACAGTGACTGAATTTTAGATTCAAGATAACAACACTCACACCACAGTCAATTCACACCCACACCCAGGCAGAGATGTGTGGACACATCAAGATCTGTTAAAAGGTCCCTCTCCAAATTTCTCCCTGTTGTCAGAGAAACACCCCCACACATCCCTTTGTCTTTCCCACCAGGCAAGGGTCACAGCTGGAGGAGTGTTTATTGAGGGGGATCAGAATTGTCCTGGGCATCAGCGACGCTCTTTGCAGTGTTGCAAACTGGAGGGTTCCCGAGCTCCGAGAGGCTGCGAGAGGTGTCCCACTGAGAGGGAGGTGCTGGGGAGCTCCCAGGGCCTCCCTCAGCACCGCTGGCTGTGGGCTCACAAGGGCACCGGCTTTAGTTATCTGCTGAATTTCCATTCTCAGTAACGACTGGAGTTTCCAAAATATTTGGGAATTGTATCCAAACTGTTCCATTTGGGTTATGTTTCAGGTAGAGAATGTTTCAAGGCTTTCATGGAGTGACTCATTATCCTGTGTTCCCCAGCTCTTACACCACCCTAAGTCAGCTGGATGGTTTATTGCCAATGTGTCCCAAGGGTCGGCACCTCCAATGCAATAGAAATGAACAACAACTTTACTAAAACAAAGAACCATCAAGAATAAAGCAAGGATCCTGCACTTACAGAGAAAGCATCCCTCCAATGTTTCTGTCCCCTCTGGCTGCTGAGGTGGCAGCGCAGGCCCAAGGCCTGTTTCTGCTCTGCTCTCATAATACCTAAAAAATGGTCAGAGAATACAAACAATGCAAGCTCTCTCTGGTGAGTTACTGCTGGTGTCAAGGTGCTCTTTTTAATGCTGAATTCTGCTAAACCCAAAATGCTTCATGAAACTTCCAAAATATCACCTTCTTTTTGAAGCAGAATTGGACAGATAAGCTGCTCCCTGGCCTGGAAATATGTCTGGCAGCCAAACCCTTTCTAACTATAAAAGCCCCGTCCAACTTTCATGTGGCAGATTCTTCCCCAGACTTCCTTGAAGTGTGTGGAGCTTCTCCCATGAAGCAGGGACAGCTCTTCATGGTCACTGCCCAGGGGTTAAGTGAAAGAGAGGGAACTACCCTCTGTCGTTTTGGGGCGAGTTACCTCAATCTCTACTTCAGGATTGTTTATTTTTGCTGCCCTTGATCCAATTGCTTTAATAGAATGACTGATAGACTGCACTGTCCAATCTTACACTATATTGCTAGGAGCTTTTGGCTTTTATACTGTATAGTAAAGAATTCTCTTTAAGGTCTTTCATCTGTTCACTTGTCTGATCAATTCTCTGTTCATTTCTAATAATAAATTGTACATTTTATAGAAATAGTTCTGATTTGCCATCACTAAAACCTTCAGGAAAGGGGGTTTTATTAACACCTCTATAATTCCTTCAATTTAAACCACAATCTGAGCCTGAGGTTGGATCCAGCCACAGCCAGGCTCCTCTCTAAGAAGGAATTTAGAAAGCAAGGAAGTTCTTTCTGCTCCTCGTAGCTCAATGAGAGGTTTCTCTAAGAAACTTTGTCTAAGTCTACTACAGCTTGTCTGGGGAGATGGGGACGTTCACTCAGGGAGGTTCGAGACAGGACCGTGGGTTGAACCAGAATGAACACTTTATTGAAACGGCTTCCCTCTCATGCAGGGCCAGCAGGGAATCTTCCAGAAGGATGGGTGTGGGTATAACAAATATGGAAAGGGAAGGAGGGGCTTGCCCAAAGCAGGCAACCAGGGGAGGGGTTACAATCACATATGGGCAAAGAGGGAAGGGTCTTGAACCATAAAAGAGACAATTACATTACAGCATTTTTTAGCCAATGGGTGAACAGGGAGAAAGAGACTAACAACTTACTTAGGGATTCCTATAAGGATTAGTACAGTATAAGAACTTTACATTAACAATACTAGAATTGAATTAACAAGGTCTTTAGTTTTTGAATGTCCTTAGTAGATCTGAACAACATCTTCATTCTCAGTTGACTCCTTCAAGGTCTCCACAAATCTTCTGTAATGTTCTTCCTCTTCCTCTTCATGTCCATCTCCCACATAGAGCAAGCTGGAAACTAAACTGTCATTTGGGGTTATCCCAGATCTATTTGATTTCAGAAATTATTCAACACATGTTCCACCTCCTCCAGCCAACCCCAGGAGATCAACCCCCTCAGCAGCTGCAAGGGCGGGGTGTTCATGTGCCCACTGCCATCTCCCAGAAGCCATTATCCCACTCCTGCCGAGAAGATGGGGAAGATGAGTATCTACCTCACAGCATCTGCTGCTGCAAGAAGAGTGTGTCCCAAGTGATGTCCTCAGCCTTCTCAGAGGGGACGTCAGATCCACTCCAGGGCCGGTCCCAGCCCTTCCCAAGCCGGACCCGGCACCAGCTCCAACTCTTCCTTTGGAAACAAACAACAAATTCACGAAAAGAGATGACAAACAAAAAGTGGAAACGAGAAAGAAAGGTCAAATGTTAACATTCTGTCAGGGTTCTGAGGAAGGCCCAACCCCTCCATGCAAAAGAAAACCCCCTCTCCTTCAGCTAAGGCAAACCTATGCCTTCTCCCTGCCCTGCTGCACTGCCCCAAAGAAAGGGTCCCAAGCCAAGGCAGCCCAAGCCTCTCCTCGCCTGCAGCCCAAAGCAGCTGGTGCCCAGGTTCTGCAGCCCCACCTTTGCTCCCCCCACAGGGGTTTGTTTCTGTCAGGCTGGTGTCCCCAGTCCAGCCCCTGCCCAGGGCAGGGCGAGTGGCAGAGCCAGGCTCCCCTTTCACAGCCACCCCAGAGCACCCGTCCACCCCCTGCCAGGAAGCAGCTTGGCAGCAGCTGAAGAACAAAGCACGTTCCCCAGAGGCCAGCAAAGGGGGGAACCCTCGGTGCCCAGCCAGGCTGTGCAATGCCCACGCCTGGGAGCACCCCTGGGTGTGGACTTATCTGCAAAGGGGCTGTGGAGCACGGCTTGGAGGAATGGGCCACAATCAAAGGCCATCATCTTCAGCTCGCCGGCGTCCAAGAGCTTGTCATCCTTGGTGCCGTCATTCATGTCTCCAGCAGCAGGCCCACCCGGCACAGCTTCTCCAGAGGCCCCTTCTCCTTCCCTGTGGGCGAGACCAGGCTGTCAGCGTTCTGCCAAGGGCCCCAGCTGTCTGTGAGGTGGGACGAGCAAAGCCAGGTTAGATGGTGGCCACCAGCGCCTGGGAGACCAGCCAGGCTCTGCAGCCCAGCTCCAGCACAAAGAGGGGCGTGTTCCCAGGGGATGATTCCCCCCAGTGCTATGTGCAGGACAAAAAAGTTTGGTTTTCTTTGCTTCTTGTTGCCAAGAGATGTGTGGAGGTGTTACTTGCCAGGCCCCTGGATCAAACTGAGCACGTGGATCTCTCCCGTCTCCTAGGGCAGCTGAACGCCCTGCACCCAAGGATGGCAGAATAGGTCTTCCAACGATGGCCTGTCTGAGGGGCGGATGGACAAACACCCCCTGATAAGGTGCTGGCACCCTGGGGGGAGAAACCAGAAATGGCCGGTCAGTTGGAGAAGGATCCTGTCCCCTTTGTCCCGCTGTCCACGTGCCCAGGCTGTGCTGGCTGTGCTCAGAGCTGTGCCCACACTTCCCGATCCATGCTCCATTTTGGAGGAGAGCAGGATGGCAGGACACAAGCCACCTCCTCCAGCCAACCCTGGGACAGAAACAGCTTCAAGAGAGGGATCCTCGTGAGCCCCCTGCCCTCTCCCAACACCGGTATTGCCCCCCGGCCACAAAGATTGGTATCCACCTTGAGAGACCCATCGTGGGAACGGGAGCTGGCCCCAGATGGTGCTCCTGCCTTTCCAGAAAGGGTGCTCCCCGCAGACCATCTGGTAGAGCAGGATGCCCAGGGACCAGATCGTTGCCGCCTCGCCGTGGTAGCTTCTGAGCCAGATCCACTCTGGCGGGCTGTACGACGGTGTTCCTACGGAATACAGACGGAGTTCAGCAGGTGGGTGCTGCCTGCTCCCAGAGCCTCGCCCCAGCATCCCTGGGAATGTGGGGCCTGCCCCAGAGGCACACGGTGTGACCCACTGCCTTCTCGCCGGCACCTGACTCGTTTCCAAACTCTGGCTTGTAGAAGGAGCCGCTGGTGTCCAAGAGGGCAGCAAAAGCCCTGGGAAGGCCCAACCATTCCATGCAAGGGAAAGACCCACCCAGTGGTGGGGAAAAGCCATGCCTTCTCCCTGCCCCACTGCACTGCCCCCAACAAGTAATCATAAGGCAAGGCAAACAAGGCGAGTGGAGCAGCCCAAGCCCTTCCTCACCTGCACCCCAAGCCAGCTTGTTCACAGGTTCTGACCCCCTTCTCTGCTGCCCTCAGGGGTGTTTTTGTCAGGCTGGCTTCCCCTTGCCCCAGACCCAGCCTGGGACAGGGCAGGTGGCACAGGCTGTCGGCAAGGCCAGGGCCTGTCTCACAATAACCCCCCAGCCCCATCCAAAAGCAATTTGGCTGAAGAACTAATCCTTGTTCCCCCTCAGCAAAAGGGACAATCTGCGGTGCCACACCCGGCCACGGCCACGCGATGCCCGGGACCAGGAGCATCCCCTGCCCGTGGGCTCACCTGCAAACTGTGTGTAGGCCGTGTCCTGAAGGAACGTGCCACATCCAAAGTCAATGAGCTTCGCCTCGCCGGTGGCCAGGTCGAGGATGATGTTCTGGGGCTTGATGTCCCGGTGCAGGACGCCACAGCTGCTGCAGTGCCGCACGGCCTTCAGCACCTGGCGGAACAGCCCCCACGCCATCTCCTCCGGCAGGAACCTCCATGCCGTGATTAAGTGAGAGAGGTCCTGAGAGCACTCCGGACGTTCCATCACCAACAAGAAACTGTTGGGGAGCTCGAACCACTCCAGGAGCTGGATGACCCCACGAAACCCATTGGACACCTTGTCCAGCAGCACGATCTCCAGGGGTGCCCGGGTGCCGTCAGGCTGCGGGAGGAGCACGATGTCGTCAGTGGGGCCAATGCCGTGCCTGTCTGCCTGCTGCCCCTCCGCCAGCCCTGCATGCTCCCCGCCCCCGCTGACCCCATGCCCACTGTCCCTCCGGGTGTCCCGGCGGCTTCCACCCTCCCGGGCCTCGGCTCGTCCCCGCCTGTCACGCCCCGCTTTCTCCCGCCGGCCCCGCTCACTCACCAGCTCGCCCCACTGCTGGATGCCATCCCGGGACACGCATTTGATGGCCACCTGCAAGGCAAGGGCAACGGCGGGTTGAGCTCGCCGCCCGTCCCACTCTCTTCCTCCTCCTCCTCCTCCGTCTCCTCCCCCCCACTCACCGGGGCTCCGTCCGCCAGGCGGGTCCCCGCGTAGACGCGGCCGAAGCCGCCGCTGCCCAGCAGCGAACCCACCCGGTACCGCTTCTGCAGGGGCTCCTTCGCCTTCCGTGCGGGCGAGACGTGGCCGTCAGCGTTCGGCCCGGGCCCGGCACGGCCCCGAGCGCCCTCAGCCGCCCTGGGCCGGGCTGCCCCCACCCGCAGCGGGCACCGGGCGGCCTGGCTGCCGGCGGCCGGGCTGCCGAGCGGGCGGAGCTCTGCCCGGGAAGCCGCACTAGGAGGCGGCGGCGCCGCGACGCCTGTGTCCCCCGCCGGCCCCGGGAGGGGCAGACGGAGCCAAGGGGCGGCCACGCCGAGCCCGGCCCAGACCCAGCCGCAGAGGAGCGCCCAGCAGCGCCGCAGCCGCCCCGCCGGCAGCCGGCCCAGGGCCACACCGCGCCGGGCCGCCCGGGGGCGGGGACGGGGACGGGGACGGGGCAGCCCCGCCCGGGAGAGGGGGCCGGCCGGGGGCATGGCCCGGGCCGGCAAGGGGAGGGGACACCGGGAACAGGACAGGGACACCGGGAGAGGCACACTAGGAACAGGGCAGGGACACCGGGAGAGGGAGAGGAGGAAGAAGAGCAAACAGAAGAGAGAGTAGATCGCTCGAGTCGCTGCTGCTGCCGCCGCTGCTGCCGCTGCTGCTGCCGCCGCTGCTGCTGATGCCGAAGCGCTGGGGCCGTTTGTCCGTTTGTCCGTTTGTCCGTCCCCCGTTGGCCCCCGCGCGCCCCGGGGGCAGCCCCGGCCGCTCCGCTCGGAATCAGCCCCGGCCGGAGTCACGGAGCTCCCCTTCCTCCCGCACCCACGCCAAGACCACAGGCTTTTTTAGCTGCTTCCCTTTATTCTCACTTCTTTGGTGGCAATCTTGCAACCTGTTGCAACTGCTCGCCGTCCCCCGCACCCCATCCCGCCCGCTCGGCCCACGCTGCTGTCGCTTCCTCCCAGGCCAGCCGCTGTCTGAACTTGGTCCTGAAGTTTGGGAAGGTGTTTGCTCAGTGAGGAGCTGCAGCACGTGCGGCCAGCACCAGTCAGAGCCAGCCGCGGGGGAGGGCAGAGCAGGATGATGGGGAGGGCAAATGCAGCCCTATCGTGTCAGCGCTGCTCCCCGACCACACCAGGGCTGTTCCTGTTTCCCTGCCCGGTCAGAGGGGAAAATTGGCAGCTCCAGAGAGGATGATAAAAAAGAGAATTAGAAGACTCTTCTTGTTGCCATTTGGATGCCAGTCCATCCTAATAAATCCAGGCTTAATTTGCAATGTACACTATTTAGCAGCTTTTCCAACACACAATATTTAACAGCTCCCTTTCGGGGGACAGTGAGAAAAGGGGGGGGAGAATGGGAGAAAAGGGGGGGCTGGGACCTCCAAACTGAGTGGGGAAGGGGGAAAGAAACACCCCAAAAGTGAGCTGGGGGAGAGCTGGGGATTGTGGGGATGATGGGAAAGGGGTGGGAGAGGGGAGAAAAGGGGCGTTGGGACAGTGGGCAGAGGGACAGAGGGCAGGGGGTTCCCATCTGGTTCCACCCTGTGCCCCATCATTTGAGCCCTGGAGCGGTTCCCTGGGGCTCTGGGGAGGGGGCAGATGTGCACTGGTAATGTCCCCTGCTTCTGTAAGCCTTTCTGTGCTTGCTCTGGTCACGATTCTCCACAGGTCCCCAACCCCACTGTCCATCCCTGGGGGGCTGATGGGGGGACTCCTCCCACCCAGCAGCTGGTGCTGCAGCAGCTGTGGGGCAGAGGGGGGGTGGGAAAGGGGGGTCCGGGGTGACCCCCTTAGCTCCCAACCTGTTGAGAGTGTCTGAGGGCTGCTGGGGGGGCACCCCCTGACCTGTGTCCCTGCACACGCAGGGCTGTTGCAGTTCCCGGGAAAAGCCGAGTGAACGGCCCCGGCGGGAGAGCTTCCTGCACGGATACATCTATGACTGGGAACAGCTCAGGCACTTCACCAGAGATTTGGGCACCTGGTGGGGGACACGCCGTGTGGGGAGACCCAGGCCAGCACGAATTACTGGAGAACACACAGGATCAGGGGACATGAACTGCTGGCGTACCTATTGGAATGTGGCCCCGTTTGCCTGGCCTGGAAACCCCTAATTTTGGGTAATCTCCCCCACATCCCACCAGAAAATCCAAACCCTCCCAAATATTCCCCTGAATCCCCAAATCCCAATAAAATGCTGGGGCTTTAATTGTCTTTGTTCCATTCCTTTATTTTAAATTCCACAAATCAGCTCTTCCCAATGAATTCCCAAAGTCAGTTTGTGACCCCGTGGATGTTTCTCCCACTGTGTTCACCCAGGTGCCCGTGGGGAACAAGGAGGATGCGGAGACCACCAGCCAGGTTTCTTCCCAACATGGATCCTTCTCCAATGGGTGATGGAGTTGGAGCAGCGGACGAAGCTCTTCCCGCAGTCGGGGCACTCATAGGGCTTCCCTCACCAGGAGATCTGTTGGTTTTTGGTCAAGGCCCAGCTCTGCTGGAAGCTCCTCCTACAGTCAAGACACTCATACGGCCTCTTCCCACTGTGGATGCACCGGTGGGTGACGAGGCTGGAGTTGTGCTTGAAGCTCTTCCCGCAGTCGGTGCAGCAGAAGGGCCTCTCCCCGGTGTGCGTCTGCTCATGCAGAAGATCTGAGCTGGTCTGAAACCTCTTCCCACATTCCAAACACTTGTAGGGCCGTTCCCCAGTGTGGATGAGCTGGTGGGTGAGGAGGTGGGACCTTTGGTGGAAGCTCATCCCACATTCCTCACACGTGTAGGGCCGTTCCCCAGTGTGGAGGTGCTGGTGGGTGAGGAGGGCAAAGCTCTTGATGAAGCTCTTCCCACACTCCAAGCACTTGATGGACTTCTCCCTGGTGTGAAGCTGCTCAGGGACCTCCAGGTCGGAGCTCCTGCTCAAGCTCTGGCCGCCTTCCCAGCACAGGCTCGGTCTTTCCTCTTCAGAGCACCCTGGGCTGGCTTTGCAGCCCCTTCTCCTGGGGTACCTTCATGGCTTTTCCTCCCCGCTGCCTTCCTGCGCCGGGGAGCCCTTCAAAACAGCCTCTCCCACCAGGCTCTGCCGGGGGGATTTGTCCTCCGAGCTCTCCGTCCTCAGCTCGGGGCCTGGGGCAGGAAGGAAGAAGGACAGGCAGGGGATTTGCCTCCAGCCCAGAGGAAAGGCCAAGGACATCCCTCCAGATCTAGCCCCGGCAGGATGGCAGCCCCAGCGGGGTTGTCCTGCAGCCAGGGGCAATACTCAGCTGCCACAGGCACCACGAGACAGGGCCAAAGGGCCACTGACTTCCTCCTCACCTGCCTGGGGGGCCCAGGGCATCTTCCTCTTCCTCGCAGCCTCCTCCCCCTCCATCCAGCCAAGGTTTGGGAAGGAGAAATCCGGGTTTGGGGAGAAAAAATCTGAGGGGGGGGTGTCCCACGTGTGTCCACAGCCCCCCTGTGCTGGTGGTCGAGCAGAAACTCAAGCTCTGGGGGTCCCCGGTGCCCCCTCAGCAAAGTCCCCCCGAGGCTCCTGTGCCGCTCCCCCAGGAAATTTGAAGATAATTGGGAAAACAGGGGATAATGAGGACATCGGAATAGTGGTGAAAAGGGAGATAATGAGGAAAAATGGGAAAAAATGGGGGAAATGAGGGAAAATGGGGGATAATAAGGGAAAATGGGGGAAAGTGAGGGAAAATGGGGGATAAAGAAGGACAACGGGGGGTAATAGTGGAAAAATCGGGGACATTGGGTGTTACTTCAAGACCTCCCTTCCCTCTTTTTCTCCCCTCTTCCCATCAGCCCCTGAGGCCTCTCACCTGCCTCCACATCTTGATTAATTAACCATTCCTTAATTACCAACTTACCAACGATTTATCACCTCCAGCCTCCCCAAAAAACCACAGGAACTCCCCGGCAGCGCATCAGTTTTATTTTGGGGTTGGGGGGGGGTCAGCACAGCCTTGTGTCATCAAAGCCAAGCATTGAGTGGGGACCGAGCAAAGGAAGGGGGATCCCAAACCCCTCCTTGGGGGATCCCCCTATTTTTAAACCCTGAGAGACCCCCTTTTTTGGGGGGAGTCTCTCAGGGTTTCTCCAGCTGGGAGTCACTGGGGAGGGTCCCCACGTCCTGGTAGGTGGGTTGGACCCCCCTGGAAATGTCCTCGTACATTGAACACTCATCCAGGTTCAGCCCCTGGGGGGAGAAAGGGGGGAATTTGAGGGGGTTTTGGGGGTTTAGGGGGTGATAGACCCCTGACTCCAGCCCCCAGAAGAGCTTTGGGGTGCAGGGACCGCCCCCAGGAACTCACCTCGTAGAGGTTTTCCTCCTCGCAGGTGGGTTTTTGGGGGCGCAGCAGCTGCTCATTGGCCCAGCGCTTCTGGGGGGGAGAGGGGTTTTGGAGTGACCATAGGGTGGTTTTCTGGGCACCAGAAGGGTTTTCGGGTGGCCAGAGGGGGTTTTGTGGGTATGCCAGGGGTTTGGGATCCTGGGGGGGTTTTGGGGTGGCCAGTGGGGATTTCTGGGGACACCAGGGGAATTTGGGGTGGCCAGCGGGGATTTTTGGGGGACCAGGGGGGGTTTGGGGTGACCAGAGGGTGTTTTTGAGGGTACAGGGGGTCCCACTGTCCCAATTAGTGTCCCCAGTGTTCCAGCTGGTGTCTCCAGCGTTCCAACTGGTGTCCCCAAAGTCTCAGTTGGGGGTCCCATTGCCCCAGCTGGTGTCCCAGTGTCCCAACTGGTGTCCCAGTTGGGGGTCCCAGTTTGCCCCCTCCCCTCCCCCTGGGGAGCAGCAGCAGCCCTGGCCCGGCTGAGCAGAGGGTGAGAACTGGGGGGTCCCAATGACAAAACCAGTGTCCCCAGTGTCCCAGTTGTTTTCCAAGTGTCCCAATTGGTGTCCCCAATGTCCCAGTTGGTGTCCCCACTGTCCCAACTGATGTCCCAGTGTTCCAGTTAGTGTCCCCAGTGTCCCAGTTGGTGTCCCAGATGGGGGCCCCATTGTCCCAATTGGGGGTCTCCGTGCCCCATTTAGTGTCCCCAGTGTTCCAATTGGTGTCCCCGGTGTCCCAACTGGTGTCCCCAATGTCCCACTTTGTGTCCCCAGTGTCCCAGTTGAGGGTCCCAGTTGGGGGGGGTCTCCTCTGGCCCCCTCCCCTCACCCTGAGGAGCAGCAGCAGCCCCGGCCCGGCCGAGCAGAGCAGCAGAAGGACCCCCTGGGCCGTCAGGATCCGGTTCTTGGTGCTCTCCCTGAGGTCCAGGAATGGGACAGGAACTGGCTCTGCGGGAACAGAGGGCACTGGTTAGACTGGGTTAGACTGGGAGGACACTGGTTAGACTTGGAGGGCAGTGGGTTATACTGAGTTGTACTGGGAGGGCACTGGTTATACTGGGAGGGAGTGGAGGGCACTGGCGGGGACTGGGTTATACTTGGGTTATACTGGGAGGGCACTGGGGGGAACTGGGGGGCACTGAGAGGGCACTGGGGCTAACTAGGATGGACTGGGGGCACTGGGATGGACTGGAGTGGGACTGGGAGGGCACTGGGGTTGACTGGATTGGGACTGGGGAGTACTGGGGGGCACTGGGAGGAACTCAAGGAGGATACTGGGAGTAACTGGGATGGACGGCGGGGGGCTTGGGGTACCACTGAGGTATACTGGGAGGGGACTGGGATGGACTGGGTTATACTGGAAGGGGCTCAAGGGGGACTCTGGGAGGAACTGGGAAATACTGGGAGGGTCTGAAGGGCACTGGGAGTGTCACAGGAGACCCCCGAGACAGCCCCCCCTCACCCCAGACCCTCCCAGAAGGACTGGGAAGGACTGGGGGACACTGGGAGAGGCTCAAAGGGGATACTGGGAGTAACTGGAACGGACTGGGTGATACTGGGAGGGACTGGGTGACTCAGATCAGACCTGAGACCCCCCCACGACCCTCATGAAGGTGCTGCAGGACTGGGGGACACTTGGAGGGGACTGGGAGGGACTGGGCTATACTGGGAGGGACTGGGAGGGACCGGGTGACTCAGAGGAAACCCCCCCACGCCCCCCACTCACCGCGGACCCTGACGAAGGTGCCACAGGACCGGGCGGTCTCAGCCCCGAACTCCACGCGGCAGAAGAAGAGCCCGGAGTCGTTGTGGGACAGTTTGGGGAAGGTGAGGGTGGCCCTCCCCTCTTCTTCCTTGGCCACCTGCTGGCCCCCCCGGGTGGCCACCACCTCCCGGGCCCCGCTGCAGCCCCCGGGGACGTCCCCGTACCTGGGGGGACACACCTGGAGCCAGTTGAGGGTGGCGCCAGGGGGGGCTCGGAAGTGGCACTCGAGGGTCAGTGGGTCCCCCACGGCCCCCGTGCGGGAGGGGGGTCCCGCCCACACCCAGAGCCCCCCCCGGGGCTGGAGGGGTGAGCAGGGGGGGCTCCGGGTGGTCACGGTGAGGGGAGTGGGCGGCTCGGGGGATCCGGGGGCAGGGGGGTTGCACACTGGGCACAGCCTTCGGGGGGGCTCTGGGAGCACTGGGAACCTGTGGGGAGGGGGAGAGGGTTAGTGGGAGTTCCCCGGACTCCGCTGGAGTGGCTGGGGGGGTCCCCAGAGCCCACCCCCAACAGAGGGCGACTGGCACCAGGGGGGGTCATGGGGGATCCCTGTCCCTGCCGGGCAGTCTTTGGGAGTTCCCAGAACCACGGGGGGGGGGATCACTGGGGGTCCCCCAGACCAGTCGGAGGGTCGCTGGGACCCCCTGAGCCCCTCCCATTTCCCCCCTTCCCTCTCGCAGTTTCAGTTCCCTGTTCCAGTTTGGGGACAGGAAATACTGGGGGGGAGGGGGGGAAACGGACATTTTGGCACAGATGGGTGGGACAAAACCCGATGGTGAGACCCCTGAGACCCCCAAAGCCTGAGACCCCCAGACCCAAACTGAGACTCCCCCCACCCAAACTGAGCCCCTCAGATCCAAACTAAGATCCCCAGACCCAAACTGAGACCTTGGGACTCCTGAGACCCCAGACCCAAACTGAGAGCCCAGGGACTACCAGACACAAACTGAGCCCCCCAGACCCAAAACCTGAGGCCCCTGACCCAAACAGAGACCCCCCCCAGACCCAAACTGAGACTCTCAGATCCAAAACCTGAGACCTCCAGACCCAAATTGAGACACCCAAGACCCAAACTAAGACCCCCCTAGAACTGAGCCTCCCAGACCCAAACTGAGACCTTGCGACTCCTGAGCCCTCCAGAACCAAATCCTACCTGCGAGGAGCAGGACCAGGATGAGCAGGGGTCTCGTGACCCCCCAGTTTGGGGGAGCCCCCCGATTTTGGAGAGCCCCCTCCATCCCCCCGCCGTCTCCGCCAGGGCCCAAAAACAGGAGACGCAGCTCAGTGATCCGGGGGGTGGCCACACCCACCCAAAATTCCCCCTGGAGGAAGAGCCGGAAGCCGCGCCCCTACCCCATCCCCCATGACCTGCTGCCCCAAAATTTCCCCAGGACCTCTGGGGAGGTGAGGGGGGGGAATTCTGGGGATCTCGAGGTCCTCCCAGGTCCCTCCCTGTCCTTCTTCCCTCCTGCCCCAGGCCCCGAGCCGAGGACAGAGAGCTCGGAGGACAAATCCCCCCATCAGAACCCGGTGGGAGAGGCCGTTTTGAAGGGCTCTATGGCACAGGAAAGCAGCGGGGAGGAAAAGCCATGAAGGTACCCCAGGAGAAGGGGCTGCAAAGCCAGCCCAGGGTGCTCTGAAGAGGAAAGACTGAGCCTGTGCTGGGAAGGCGGCCAGAGCTTGAGCAGGAGCTCCGACCTGGAGGTCCCTGAGCAGCTTCACACCAGGGAGAAGCTCATCAAGTGCTTGGAGTGTGGGAAGAGCTTCATCAAGAGCTCCCACCTCCTCACCCACCAGCACCTCCACACTGGGGAACGGCCCTACACGTGTGGGGAATGTGGGATGAGCTTCCGCCAAAGGTCCCACCTCCTCACTCACCAGATCATCCACACTGGAGAACGGCCCTACCAGTGCTTGGAATGAGGGAAGAGGTTTCAGACCAGCTCAGATCTTCTGCGTGACCAGACGCACACCGGGGAGAGGCCCTTCTGCTGCACCGACTGCGGGAAGAGCTTCAAGCACAACTCCAGCCTCGTCACTCACAGGCACATCCACAGTGGGGAGAGGCCCTACAAGTGTGGGGAGTGTGGGAAGAGCTTCACCCAGAGCTCTGGCTTGACCTCACACGAACAGACCCACTGGTAAGGGGAGCTGTACAAGTGCCCCGACTGCGGGAAGAGCTTCGTCCGCTGCTCCAACTCCATCACCCATTAGAGGATCCACATTGGATGATCCACGTTGCGTTAAAGACCTGATGACTCACATTCCTGGTGATCCACATTGGGAAGACGCCTGGGTGGTGGTCTCCATCCTCCTGGTTTCCTATAGACATCTGGATGAATGCAGGGGAAGGAATATCCATCAGGACACAGACTGAGATTGGAAGTTCACTGGGAAGAGCAGATTTGTTGACTTCAGACCTGTGGCAGGACATCCCCCCTGGAATGTCCAAGCAAACAATGCCCTATTTGCAAATGTATCAGTGGTGGGCTGAGAGGGGCTCCTGCTGGAAACTAGTCTGGGTTGAACCCTGAATTAACACCCTTTCTTGCCAGCTTTAGTAGAATTGCTTCAACAATTTCTTTAGTGTAGTGCACTCTCCTCTCTTATACTATACTGCTGGTAGTTTTAGTGTTTATATTGTTTAGTAAGTAATTCTGATTAAGATCTTTTGTCTGATAATGTGTAATAATAAATAATAATTTTATCTAAAATCTGATTTGCCATCATTAAAACCTGCAGGACAAAAGTGGTTCAATCACAGCTCTGTAATTTCTTAAATGCCAACTGTTGCCATAATCCAAGGCTGAGACGCGATCCAGCTGCCCTCAGGCTCCTCTGGGAGCAGGAGTTTAGAAAGCTGGGGAGTCCTTTCTGCACCTTGGCACTCAAGGGCAGGACTTCTTTCATTAACTTTGTCTAAGCCTTCCACTCCCCCCTGCAACAGGGGACGACGGGGAAAAAGGGAGGGGGAAAGGGGAGAAAAGGTTGGAAAAGGGGGTGAGAGCCCTTCAACTGAGCGGTTGAGGGAGTGGGACCCCCCAAAGCGGAGCACGGAGGGAGCTGCGGTTTGGCAGGACGATCAGAAAGGGGTGGGAGAGAAGAGAGAAGGGCTGGGATCCCCAAAACTGAGCGGGAGGGCGGTTGGGACCCCCAGACTAAGTGGGAGGGGCTGGGACCCCCCAGCTGAGCATGGGGCGTCTGGGGATTGGGGGGAAGTTGGGAAAGAGGAGGGAGAGGGGGGAAGAGAGAGGGGGGACAGAAAGTAGAAGGGTCCCTTTGTGTCCCCCATCACGTGAGGCTTGGAATGATTCCCTGGAGCTCGGGGGGAGTAGATCCACACTGGGGTGTCCCTGTCCATCGCTGGGGGTCTGATGGGGTGTTCCCCCCCACCCAACAGCTGGTGCTGAGGTGGCCGTGGGGCAGAGGAGGGTAGGAAAGGGGGGTCCGGGGTGGCCCCCTGAGTGTCCCGCCCGACACTGCAGGAACAGTGATGCCAGCAAGGGCTGACAGGCTTTGGGAAAGCTCCGACCTGCAGAAGCTGTCAGGGCTCCGGGGCACAGCCCAGGGGGGCCTAATAGAGAAAGGGGGCTGGACCCCAAGTGCGGCTTGGGTGGGAACAAATGGTTTCCATCTGTCCCGCTGGGAATTGGCACTGGGGCACAAACTGTCATCGCTCCGAGCAGCTGCACTTTGCAGTGGCTGCGAAGTTTTTGGCACTACCAGGCACAGCTGGGAATGTGGGAGGGGATCTCCTTCCAGCTGAGATCCTGCAGCTTTGCAGCAGCCATCAGCACCACCCAGATCACCCAGAGGTGCTGGGAATCTGAAGGGATTGAGGACAAGCAGTGGATGAAGCACCTGGGACACAACTGCAGTTTTCACCTTTATCTTGTTTATTTCCATGGGTGACTGTTTTGTCTGTGTGTGGGAGACCTGGAAGGTTGCCAAGTTGCTGTAACTTCTCTACAATCTCTTCTGTGGGTACCCCTGCGTTAGACACTAACAGTGGAAGAATGTATGGTTTCCAGGATAAAGGACAGCCTTCTAATAATTTGTTCCCCATTACTGGGTTTAAAGGCTGTTGCTTGTAAAGTTCAGGGCTCTGCAGTTCGACAGCTAATTTCATCGCTTCTCCTTTCAATATCCTGATTGCTTAAGAGTTATCCAGGATGAATTTCCATCCTGCCATGATCCATCATTAGTAAAATGGTCACTAAGACCTTCAGCAATGACTGAAACTAAAGTCTTACTAGTTCCTGGTGTTTGTTTTAAATGCTGAAGAGCATTTTGTACATATACGTCATTAGTTAACCCTAAAAACTTCATGGCATCAACATCATCTACTATCACTGAGTCTGCCCCTTGCTCCATCAATCGAACCATCCACATTTGTGCTCGTTCCCGAGGTTGCTGGGAATATTTAGATCTTTTTTAATATCTTCTGGGGAGAAATCAACCTCATCCTGTCTCACTCGGTTACCCTGACTCTCCATCACTGCCTTCCGCCGTACAACAGGGGCTGCCCTTGCTTCCTGTGTCAACTCATCTGTTGTCGATGGCTTCCCTGTATTTTCTACAGAATTGTCCTCATCAGAATCACCACTACTACTACTTAGGTTACCATCCCACTTCTCTGGGTCCCAGTCAGGGGAAGTGACTACAGCATTCACCTGTGGCCCCCAATCACTTTGTTCTATTTTCTTTTGCCTGTGCCGAATAGTTCTTAGGCATACTTTTCAGTTAAAGTAACACATTCATCTTCTACCCTGTTCTTTTCAGTTTGAAGGTCAAGTAAAGCCTGGCGTTGTACCAACTGAGTGGCTCTCACAGCACTCAACTGCTCCTGCAATTTGTTGTTCTTTTCTAATTCTTTTTGCAATTTTTCTACAGTTAACTTATATGCAGAAAGCAGTGCACCCCCCATATGTCCGGCATGTTCCAGATGACTGCTTGATTTAGTAGTAGAGATCTGTTTGAACTGCTTCTAATATTGCAATACCTCCTACTACCCCAATATCCGGAGGACATCTTTGTACATGTTTCCCATTTATTCCATAAGGTATTCCATGGTTTCTGCCCCCATTCTACTAATTCACAGGGAAGAGCAGTGGTTTCCTTAGGTTCATTGCCACCTGCGGCCAATCCTCCTAACCACTTCTTCATCTTAATCTACCAAACGTTCTCACTAACAGGTACAGTTTCAAGCTACACACAACACCTATATACAAACCCACAAAATGTTGTCCTTACACCACAAATGGATCTGAGCTCACATACACATCAAATCTAGGATCTATGTATATACCAGCCACCAAACATATACTCTATAATAGCTCCAAATGAGTCCTCAAAAAGACATATCTATGAGTAAAACAGCAACAAAACCTAACCCACCGAGTATCTGCTATGCTTTGATTAGCTCTACAACAAATACAATAGAAATTTAGAGTCCGATCTAACCCTATCTCCTGAATGCCTCCAAGTCCCAGGATATATTTTGTGCAGTTATTACACAGAGCTCGTACATATAACGAACAACTACAAAAGGGACAGATCTTAATTCTAGATCTTAAGTGGTATGATATATACACAATTAATTGCTCAGAACAACCTCCCATATAAACAAAACCAAACAAAACATATGAAACACAGACACCGGCACCCCTGGTGCCTACACAAACACAGAGGGTCAATTGAACCCTGTGTTTCACTCAACACACAGGGTCGTAGCTTCACAGGCTGTGCTCTCCACCTGAGAATCTCCCTCCTCACACAACTCATTTGGGGACACAACTCTACAGGCTGTGCACTCCACCTGAAGATCCCACCACCACTCTTGCAGGGACACGGCTTCATTGGCTGAGCACTCCACCAATGAATTTCCCCACACAATACAGCTTTATTCCGCCATGTATCCTGCCGACTACGCCAATTTTATGTACCAGTTCGTTAGGATACATGTCCAGAACAAAGACAAGTACAACAGTGATTCAAACGCTACAAAACATCTTTTATTGCAGTGAGAATAAAAAAAAAACTACTAATAAAGACAATCAAAAGCTAAAAAAAGAGTACAAAAATACTACTTTATCAGTTGGCCTTCACACAATACTATGAACAGCCTCTATTACAATATTAGCTAGTGAAAAGGGAATTAAAGGGATACAAGAAAAAGGATATCAAATGTTTGCTTTCCCGGTTGCTTCCTATCAATAAACTGTGCTCACCTGCACAG